TATATTGGTTTCCACGGATAAAAAACTAGAATTTTTCAAAACATTTTTAATACATTTACCACTTTGTAAATATCAAACAAATCTAACATAATTTTCACACTTATGTTTTCTGGGTCGTTTATTTATTTATTTATTTTTTAAATTTAGGGTGTGTTTTTTAATCTTGGTTGTTTTTTAGTTTTTTTTATTGTTTTTTATGTATCTCTTTTTAAATAATAAAATATTTTTATTTTAATTAATTATTAAGTTTATTTATCATTTTTAAGAAATTATATTTAGTTTTTGTTATTTATAAAGCTTAATTTAAATTATTTTTATTTATAAAGGTAAAAGTGAAAGTCAGTGAAAATATTTCCTGGTTTTTAATAAGTTTTTAATAAATAAATAGAAAACTAACGTGACACTCAAACAATAAATGATGAAAGATTGATTAACCATCCGACAAATGACTTATTAAGGTAATTAACTTTTCGTTTTGTTCACATTTAGGTAACTATTTTTTTTTGTATACGTCTAGGTAACAAACTTGTTGGAAGTGTTCACATATGACAATTATGACCTGTTGTAGCAGGTTACATTCTAGATGTGAACACTTTCAACAAGTTTCGTTATCTAGACGTGTATAAAAAAAATAATTACCCAAATATGAACAAAACAAAAAGTAAGAGTAAATTACACGAATGGTCCTTGTGGTTTCGGGGAATTTATATTTTTGGTCCCTAACTTATTTTTTTAACTCGGATATACTGTTTATATTTGTTGCACGTTTGGTCTCTGTCTTACCTAAAAAGACTATTGTGCATTTATTTATTTATTTTTTAGTTAATTTTCTTATTTATGTATTTATTTTTTATATATTTAAAAAAATTAATAGACCCCACATATTTGTATCTCGTCACCGTAAACCTGAAACCACATTTAAGAAATTTAATTTGGGTCTCACCGTTCACCATCCCATCTCTTATCATCGTCAACTTCTATTTCTTTTCCATCTTTAGTGACATCGACTTCTTCACCATCCTTCTTTTTTTGGTCCTTCAACTCTGGCGAACCAACACCATAACCCACTGTCAACATGGGATGATGAGAGATACAAATATGTGGGGTCTATTAATTTTTTTTAAATATATAAAGAATAAATACATAAATAAGAAAATTAATTTTAAAAAATAGATTAATAAGGGCACAACAGTCTTTTTAGGTAAGACAGTGACCAAACTCGTAACAAAAATAAACAGTAGGGATCATTCGAGTTAAAAAGATAAATTAATTAAAAAATAAACAGTAAGGATCATTCGAGAAGATACATATATGTGGGGTCTATTAATTTTTTTTAAATATATAAAAAATAAATATATAAATAAGAAAATTAATTAAAAAATAAATTAATAAGGGCACAATAGTCTTTTTAGGTAAGACAGGGAGCAAACGTGCAACAAAAATAAACAGTATGAATCATCTGAGTTAAAAAAATAAGTTAGGACCAAAAACACAAATTTCCCGAAACCACAATGACCATTCGTGTAATTTACTTTTACTTTTCCTTTTGTTCATATTTGGGTAACTATTTTTTTTGTATATATCTAGGTAACGAACTTGTTGAAAGTGTTCACATCTAGGATTTTACGTGCTACAGCAGGTCATAATGGTCATATGTGAACACTTCCAACAAGTTTGTTAGCTAAATATGTATAAAAAAGATTATTACCCAGATGTAAACATACCGAAAAGTTAATTACCTTAATAAGTGATTTTACCCTTCCCTCTTTAAATTAATAAAAACATGATACATAAGTATCTATGCTTTTTTTATTCAAATTAATAAAAACATGACACATATTGAAGTATGTATGCTTTATTTATTCAGACCATATCTTTTAAGTTTTACCAGTTTACACTAAACCCTCGATCTTTTGAATTACATCAGCTACGACCCTGTGAAAAACTCCGGTTACAGGCAGCGTTCTCTTCAGTCTTCACTCTTCACTGACACGGCGACACTACAGTCGGGAACAAGCCTTTCGCCTTCCGTTTACTATTCGAATGCTTTCACTTGCACGGCGGTGCCGGAGATCTCTCCAATGTTTCCAGCCGCTTGCCTCTCAACTACATTCAACGAGAGCTCTCGCCGCGGCCGCCTCGTCTCCTCCAACCCGTAGGCGGTCAAAATTCACTCCGGCAGTCATGAGGAAAACCGATGACAAATCTGAATGGTGGGTCGTCGATGGTGAAATGCACGAAATCGGAGAAAACGTGCCGCCTCGAGAGAGATTCGTTATACCCAGGGACAACATCCCTAACAAACGTCGTAAGCAGCTCCGTGAACAGTTTATGCGCCGCACTCGCCTCGTTCTCAAAGAATCGGTTAGTTTCTCTCTTAACCGCTTCGATTTTCCGATATGTATCTCCCTAATTTTGTACATACTGAATCGTGGTATAATTATCTAACTGCGATTAGCATATAGGCAAAACCTAATAGCGAATACTCTTCATAATCATACGAAACGAACTCATTTGTAAAACTTTCATCCATCGAACATTTTTGGATTGTGTAAGTTATATGACCATGGATGGTTGTGCTTATTGTTTGATGTTTCGACGAAGGAGCATGAGCCCTGGTGCAAAAAGTACATGGAACTATATCAGGAGCTTAGAGAGAATTGGGAGAGGATATACTGGGACGAGGGTTATTCCAAGAAACATGGTCAAGAACGTGCAAGCTATGACTCTGCTGAAGACGATGATGAAGACTTTTCACCTTACAGGTTTCCTACTTTTCAGTTAAATGCAAAAATAGCAACATACTTTCATTACTTGTTTGAAGACTTTATCTTCTGACCTTCATTTCTTCCTATCACATCATTACACTTCGAAATTTTAACTAGTTAATGCTTAAAAAATTTGTGTTTTCTCCTTCCTTTGTATTTAACCATTTATTTAATGCCTCTTTTTGCAGAAGAAAGCAACCCCATGCTGAGGACATGAAGGTACCCGATGTTTGGTTGCATACTATTGATTCCTATGTGACAGATCTTAGGCCCTGTTTATTTTTTATTTTTTCATTAATTGTTGTCTGGATAAATGATCTTTTAAACATCATTTATCTATTAAACAACACTTGATGAATGAAAAAGAAACAAGGCCTAAACTTATATGTTTGCCCATATAAGTTGTTTATCAAATTACTAAAATTGGGCTGAATTTGGAAAAACAGAATCATGGTTTTGATAGAAATAGGCGCGGAGATACAGTGGAAAAGGCAGGCATGATCCGAGATAAGTTTGAATTTGACCGGGAGAGAAGAATGAGAGATAGAGGTTATTCTTTATTATTTTCATTTATTTATTTATAAAATTCTCCCAAGAAATTTGCCACAAAGTCTTTACTTCAGTCATACTGAAAAAATTATTATATGCAATGAAACAGCTTTTGCACCTATGAATGGAGGAATGCAGTTTACAGCACCTGATTCACCCTCAAGAAATCAATCATTTGATGCAAAGAGATATCTTTCCTCCAGTGACAGCGAGTAACTATATTGTCATCAACAACAACTGTTTCTTTTTGACTTGATGGGATTAATTGAGACAGTACTTATGTATCGGGTGCTTCTTTCGGACTTAATGTATAAAGACTGACTTAATAGAGCTTAAAAAGTCTTGGTTATATTTAAGCAATGACATCGAAATTATTAGATACTTGTTACTTAAAACATCGATAAAATCATGTGGTTGTGTTGGATTTGAAATTTTCTAACCACTTAGGTGCGTATGAATTTGTATATGAATACTTTGAAATATGTTACAGTTTGGTTAGCGGAAAACTGAAAGAAATTCGTTTTCAGTCTTTTTGTATATTTATATTCGGAGAAAAAGCTTATTGAAAATTTGAGACACCATGACTAAAAATTACTATAACTGTTAAATTAATTAAAATTTATTTTAGTTGGTTAATACTTAATAATGAAATATTTTAATTAATTAATGCTTTGATGGGTTTCTCACAGTCATCTTGCTCGTTTTCTTTTTATTTGTCTTCTTGCTCATTTTTCTAAACTTCAAGAGAACCACTATCATTTACGTCTTCATGTAAGTAATTCGGATAAAATTTTCCCTAATCCTATCGACTGACTGTATTGTTATTGCAGCACCCTTAGTTGCGCCTCCCTTGTTCATTTATGTTTGGAGTTTTTGACTTGAATTTGGCAATTATATGTGGGATTTTTATTTAGAACTTGATTTAGATCAGGCATTGGCTTGAGTTTTGTCCAAATTTTCATATTTACAATTGAATCAAGTTAGGGTTTTGATTTTGTATGTGATGAGCGTGGTGGTTAACGGTGGTTGTTGTGGCTGGAAAAAGTGGAGGTGATTGCCGTAAGTTAACTATCAAGGATTCAAGGATTTCAGTTGAACAACCAACTAACTAAGCTTTGAGCTAAACCTATAGAACTTAAAATACGTGAGGGACTAAATCTGTAATTTACTCTTATTTGTAGGTTGAGGGGTCAATTCAGAATCAAACCAAACTACCGGGTTTTAAAAAACATATCTCGTTCAATTTCACGATTCAGAAACTCTGGCCGGCGCCAAACCCTCTCTCCATCGTTCAAAGTTTCTCTTCCGAACAACAATTTCAAACGGTGAACGTTTCGACGGCAGCTATGATCTGATCTGTAGCCTTGATCATCCCCAGGGCTCCAATTGTGAATAATTTTGGTCATTTCATTCACTGAAAACAGGAAGCAGCAGATGAGTGGGGCGAGACTGTGTTCATTGTTGGGTGAATTGGGGTACGAAGGTCATGGGGCACTTGATCCAGACAGCTTTGAATGGCCTTTTCAGTACGAAGATGCTCGTCCTATACTCGATTGGCTGTGCTCCAGCCTCCGTCCCTCCAACGTCCTCTCCGCTTCTGAACTTTCCCAGTTACGTCTCTCTCTCTCTCTCTCTCTCTAGACAGCAATGTATGTTTGTTTTATCTATATTTTTGTATTAATGTTTAAGTATCTAGCTGATTATTATTCTCGGATCACTTCCTAGAATGTTGAAAGATCAAATTCATAGTTGTAAGACTTGAACGGTTTTAGGGCTAAATCCTACAATGAAATTTACCCTATTGATCACTTAAGAATAAATGGCTCCAAGTTTGGGGACTCATTTTAGCGATGCAATCTTGTGAATCCCATGCGGCATGCATTATATGTCTTCAAAGCGAACATGTCAATTACATGCCACTAAGTTTCTTCTTAGAATATATAGGATCTAAATATGTTTAATATATGCATAGGGCATATGCTAATAATTATATCTGCTTTATCATCCAGGTATGAACAATTTATACAAGATGGAAAGCTTTTGGAGGTAATCATCAGGCTTACTTTTGATGATTATAGCTACAATGTTATTGCTTTTCTGGAATTAGATATGGTCAGAGAACACTTTTAGGATTCAAAATTGATACAACAGGTTTGCCTGGAACAAGAAGCAAACAAGGGTTAGATTGTATAAGCAGAACTAAAGCTAATAAAAAGATTTACAAATCTAAGATGAAAGTCACATCATTTTTTGCATCAGATAAAGTAAACCAGTTGGATGTAGACCATAAAAGTAAATCCATATCTCTAGTTTCACAATGGAGTTGGTGAACTACATATAAATGTATAATGTAACTGTTGCATAGCGTTTAATAATACTTTTGTTTTTTGCAGGGTGAAGACCTAGATTTTGCTTATGAAAGTATATCAGCCTTTTCAACAAGGAGAGACAATCAGGAGGCAGTTTTTGGAGCTGAAGAAGGACTAAAAGAAATAAGGTAAATTTACCTACATTGATCCACCTATTTTTACTTTGTTAAAAAATGATAATCCTGAAAAATAGCTTTTTTTCAAAAGGGATGCTACTTTAGCCTTTAAAACAGAAGCCATGGAGCTGCAGAGACAACTTGGACATCTACAGTCTCAATATGACATGCTCAGTACACAGGCTTCAGCTTTGATTCAAGGGAAAAGGGCAAGAGTTGCATCAACATCTGCTGTAAACGGACTACTCACTACCATAGATGATAGCCTTTCAGCCAGAAACTTAGAGGTACATTCTTCCTTTTACATTTTAAGCTGTTAATATGCTTTCCAAGAAATACTTTGACTTACTTCAATAGTTCAATAGTCAAATGTGATTCTTAAACTTGTTTTGTTGCAACTTAAGATGAATGCAGTTCTTGGACGGATTGCTTCTACAGCACAAGAGTTGGCTCACTTCCATTCAGGAGATGGTACTATTTTCATTTCATACTTGTCATTTTTGGTTGATTGACCTTAAGACATTATCACATTAAAATTTAAAATCATCTCATTTCTTCATGGGTTTTGATTTGCTGATATGCAGAAGATGGCATCTATTTGGCATACTCAGACTTTCATCCATATTTGCTTGTTGATTCATTGTGTATGAAAGAATTAAATCAATGGTTTGTTAAGCAACTAGATACGGTAAAAACTATACAAATTTTTTTTTTCAGTGGATAGCTCTATATGTTTGTTTCTACAATGTGTAGCTTTTGCATAAAAGTGTTAGGTGAACTTCATCTTATATGTTGATTCAGGGTCCTTATCGATTGGTAGCAGAGGAGGGAAAATCAAAGTGTTCATGGGTCAATCTTGATGACATTTCCAATACCTTAGTGCGAGGTGATTCTCAATTGCACTGAGTTTTTTGATTTGTTAATTTTTCAATTTCATTCTTTATAGTGATTGCATCATTTAGATATCTTTGTTTCTAGAAGGGATTTGTGCATGTGTGCATAGCTAATCAACAAGACTAATTATTTTTTTTTTAAAATTTTTTGTGGTAGACTCTCAAAAGTCGCAACATCAACGCGTTTCAGAATTGCAAAGGCTTCGCTCCATGTATGTCAAGTTAATAAAAACATGTGCTATATTTTCATAAGATAGTGAAAACAGAAAACAGTAGCAGATGTATATGTTAATCTACAACCTATTTTGGATAATTAAAAAGCAAACGTATGCTCACTTGTTTGTAAAAGATGATGAGAATTTAAAAATGTGTGATATGCAGATTTGGAACGAGTGAAAGGCAGTGGGTTGAAGCCCAAGTTGAGAATGCAAAGCAGCAAGCTATTCTGTTGGCACTTAAAGGTCAAGTAACTTCAGATGAAGCTCATATTCACCTTGATCTTCATTCACTTAGGTATCATATCACTATTCTTCTATGTTATGTGAACATACATATTACATACATGCATAATATGTTAATAATGATATGATATATGCTTCTTACATTGTTTTATTAGGAGAAAGCATGTAGAATTGGTTGGAGAGCTTTCAAATCTACATACCAGAGAAGACAAGTTATTATCTGAGGTTTAAACTTTATATGTTTCTTAATATATATGCCACTGAGTATTTTTCCTCCTTTACTTTTCTACATGATATTTATTTGGCTTTTTGAGATTAAAGATACCATTCCCTTTTTTCCAGACTATTCCTGATCTATGTTGGGAGCTAGCTCAACTACAAGACACGTACATTCTACAAGGTATATATATATATATATATATATATATATATATATATATTTATTAAAATCTTTAAACATGCTTTTGATGATTATATATGAAAACTATAATTTATCTTTTGAGTATGAATATAAATTAATCTGTAATGCAGGTGATTATGATTTAAAGGTTATGCGACAAGAATATTATATTCAACGTCAGAAAGCGGTATATACCTTTTTCAACTTATACCATAAATAACATGATTTTAATTTATTTTTTTCTAATTGTTATTGCAATCATCACATTCTTCATGTATTTGTATTTGTATTTGTTGTTCTTTATTTTGCAGTTCATAAGTCATCTAATTAACCAGCTTGCAAGACATCAGTTTTTAAAACTAGCATGCCAATTTGAAAAAAAGACGATTCTTGGAGCCTTTTCATTACTCAAAGTTATAGAGTCAGAGCTGCATGGTTACCTATCCGCAACCAAAGGACGAGTGGTATATACTACTATCGGCTAATCGTTATTATCATAAGATAATTTCAAAACTTTGTATTTAACATATAAATAATTTTTAGGGTCGTTGCATGGCGTTAATTCAAGCAGCATCAGATGTACAAGAACAAGGAGCTGTTGATGACAGAGATACGTTTTTACACGGTGTCAGAGACCTTCTGAGCATCCATTCAAGTAAATTACACTTTTTTTTTTTTTTTTTTGTTTATAAATAAAATAAATAAAATTGTCAAATAAACTTGATTACCTTTTTATTTATTTATTTATTAGATGTTCAAGGCGGTTTGTCGACGTATGTATCAGCACCAGGACTAGTGCAGCAGATCTCCAGCCTCCAATCTGACCTCATGGCCCTGCAATCCGACTTAGACAATGCCCTTCCTGAAGATAGAAGCAGATGCATTAATGAGTTGTAAGTTATCTCTGTTACACTGGATAAACTTTCCAAGGCATTTATGTCTTTTTTGCATAACAACCTTTTTGGGTTTGGGACAAAAAGTTAAAAAGCTTTTGTATCAATTTATCAGCCTCAGAATACAATACACTTTTGTTTTTGTTTGTCTTTATTATATTTATTATTACAGGTGCACTCTTATCCAAAATTTGCAACAGTTACTATTTGCATCTTCCACCACTGCACAGCCGATTTTGACACCACGGGTATGCAATTGATTTATTAAAGCTTTATTTTTTTTAATAAATATTTGTTACTAATCATAGTGTCTAATTGTTCAAACTTGATATTATGAAAATGGATTTAGACTCTAATGAAAGAGCTGGATGAGATGGAAAAGGTGAATGCCAGGCTGTCAGCTGCAGTGGAAGAAGTAACACTCGAACACTGCAAGAAGAACGAGGTAAAAAAGAAACATTCACCATTAATGATTAATTCAGTAAAAACTAAAAAGAAACAACACCTTTTAGTGTTTGGATGCATATTAAATTATTAATGATGTGATATATGTATTTATGGGACAGATTGTGAAGCATCACTCTCAAGAAATGGCACTTCAAAGGCAGGTATTTGTGGATTTCTTTTGTAATCCGGAACGTTTGAAAAATCAAGTCAGGGAACTAACAGCACGTGTTAGGGCTTTGCAAGCATCATGAATTATATACTCCTACAATTACAAACAATTGTCAATGTATGTATTTTTGTTATTTTTTTCTCTTGTAATGTGTTGGTTTGATTCATGTATGATTAATCTTCCAACTTTATGTTGTCACGTTAATTTTGAAATTGATTCCATAGCTCAACGAGTTTTTTTCCCTTAGTTTTTCAGATCATATTTAACCAATGGGAATTATTTTTTTCAGATCAACCAAACTTGTCTTCACACACCTACGACTGAATTTCAAGTTGTATATAATGTGCACATTTATTATTTAATGTCACATCTATATTTTTAAACCATGAGTTGCATAAATGATGTTTCCAAAAGAGATGTCATAGTGGATGGATATAGACGTCAGGTATTGTGTCTCGAGTGGAATTTAATGAAACATAACAGAACTTTAGAAATCAGGATCAGTTCATTAGGCTCACGTATTATTCATTAAGGTATATTATGATTCATTA